AGCCTCTTCACTTTCATCTACAATATCCCAAAGATCCAAAGATGCCAACAAAAGCTCAATTTTTACCTTCCAATGGTAAAAATTCTCACCTCTAAACTTTTCAATAACTCTCAATCCTTCACCCTCACTTGAATCTATGTCTAAGGAAGAGTTGTATTAAAAAAGATTGTAAGAAGAAGTCCTGATGCTCTCAAAATCAGTAAGAAAGTTTTGCTATTTTAGAATCACAGAATCCTTCTTTGTGAACTAACTAGTATTCTTACTCTCAAAAAAACACTCTTAACTTCACTTCTAAGACTTCTCACAAGTTTGATGATCTATCTAAGTGTCTCAAATCTGATTTGCTACTCTAATATCATTCTTATGCTCACAAATCACCTCTATATACCATAAAAAGCCTTTTAAGTACAATCAATATCTTTAGGACATGAAACTACAAAGTTAGACTACCAAAGATGTATTTCAGCAATAGTATAATGCAAGTATTTTATAACTTTTCCTTAAGGTGAAAAACCAAACACCAACACCAAAATGCTCTTAATCACAAATAAGAGCAAACCAAGATCTATATCTAGATCTAAATTTGAAAGTTAGGTACTTCTAAATCCTAACATTAGCAACAACAACTTGATCTACTCCACACTTACACAACCACTTCAAAGAACTTCAAAAAATACTCAAGCAAATGTGAGTGGCCTCATAACATATTGAAGAAAAGAAGTCTAAAAGCTACAACCACTTAGTATTAGCAAGAATTGCACTCTAAAAGAAGTATGGAGAAAGATATTTCTTACTTCCAATACCTTTTACTTACAGGTGGAGTTTACATCCTAAGTACATGGATTTCATCCAGAGTCACCTTCATCCTTCCACCTAGAGCTAGATTCATCTTAATCTAACAGCCACCTTAAAACCCTAGCCGCCTCTATAGTAACTTGTTTTAATCTTTTGCTACCTTTTGACTATTAGCAACTGACAATGATTAATCTTCATGTGGTGGTAACTAAGTAAGAACTTCTTGATCTTCAACAACTCCTCCTCCACCCAAATTTACCTGCATCTATGTGGAGTCATTTAGTTTTATATGCTGCAGCATTAATATGTCTCCTCCCTTCTTCTCTTGAAATTATTTCACTACATGAGCTCATTTCGAGTTGTATTCCAAATGTATTTCACTTATAAGTATTTGGTTGCCAAGCTTGGATTCCAGTATTAGAACCTCAATGGCATACCATTGGAGCTCATCGACAAGAAATCATATATGTTGGTTTTGATTCATCAAGCATTATTTGTATTGTTGATCCATCAATTGGCACATTATTACGTGCACGTTTGCAAAATTGCTATTTTGAAGAGAATATATTTCTATTTCTTCAAGGAAGAATATCCAATCAACAAAGAAATAAAATACTTATATTTGAAGCATCGAAAATATTTACAATGAATCTCCATCCAACAATATCTTTAGCTGAAACTGAAGTTGCTAAGATTTTGCATCTAAAATAGATCGCAAATGAAATATCTGATGGCTTCAATGATGTACCTAGAATTACAAGAATTCTTATTAATGAGGCTCACAATGAACTTGCTCAAATTGCAGTGCTATTGACTACAATCCCTTAAGTTATAACAACAACAACTAAAATAACTCATGGACCAGATAAGCAGCTATGTAAGAAGAAAGTTATAATATTGAATAATCCTGGTATTATTTCTCAAGAAATTACCACTCATTTTGTAGAACTATCAATTCATGATGATATATCCATGCATAATGTACCTTCAATTCTTGTGAAAAACAATCTTGGAATTGAAAGAAGTTGAGTAAAACATTATCTATTCTATATTGTACTACAAATGATATTTGGGATAGACGATCTATTATGATAGATGAATCATTTGCATGTATGATTATAGAAGCCCTTTCTTTGGAGAAAGACAATCTTGAACCTCAAACCATCGAGGAAAGGATGCATTGCTTTGATTGGTCAAAATAAAAAATAGCTATTGAGGAGGAGTATGCATCTTTGCGTAAAAAGAAAGTCTTTGTTCTAATTGTAGACACTCTTACATCTAGCCCTATGGGATATAAGATGGTATTAATATGCAAGCAAGATGCTTAGGATCAAATAACCTGCTATAAAGCTTGTCTTATTGCTCAAGAATTTATTCAATGATTTGACATTGATTACGAATCCACATATTCTCTAGTCATGGATTCAATTACATTTCAATATATTATTGGAATGGCAATTTATGCCACCCTTGAGATGCATCTGATGGATGTGATAGCTGCATATCTATATGGTTCTCTTGATACAAATATTTAAATGAAAGTTCTACCTGGCTTAAAAATAGGAACTCCAAATAGACCTGCTTTAAGACAATATCATGGTATTAAATTATGTAAGGCCTTGTATGGTTTAAAACAATCCAAATGCATATGGTATCAATGTCTTAGAGATTATTTAATTACACATAAGTGATCCATTAATCCCTTGTTTGTTTATGAAACGAGATAAAATTAGTTTTGTAATCACCACTGTATATGTTGATGATCTTAACCTAGTGGGTACTAAATCTGCATATATTGTAGCTACTAATCTACTTATTTGTGAATTTGGGATAAAAATGCTAAGAAAAAAAACTTTCTGCATTGGTCTTCAGATTATGCATCTCTTAGATGGTAGCATTTTTCTCTACCAACTAATGTATATTAGACAAATCTTGTGGAGATTCAATATGATTGATGCTTATTCATTGTCCATACCAATGGTTGGACATGGTCATGATGGTTATGATCCTTATTGTCCATACGAGGAGGACGAAGAAATATTAGGAAATCAATATCCATACCTTACAATGGTTGGAGCACTTTCATATTTGGCTACATCTACAAGACCAGATATTGCATTTGTAATTAGTGTTCTTGTAAGACATAGTGCACGTCCAACACTACGACATTGGAGTTGCATCAAACATTTATTACGTTATTTAAAAGGTATTGAAGACTTGGGATTATACTACACACAATCTATAGATCCAAAATTGGTTGGATATTGTGATGTGGGATATAAATCTAATACTGCAATAGCTAAATCTCAAACATGATATGTATTTTTAAGACATGGAGCTATTATATCATGGAAATCAATGAAACAAACAATAACTGCAACTTCATCCAACCATGTAGAAATTATTGCCTTACATGAAGCATCTCGAGAATGTATTTAGTTGTGATCAATTGATAAATTCATTCAAACAACTTATGGATTTTTATATGATGATTCTCCAACTATCTTGGATGAAGATAATAGTACTTGTATTGCATAGATGTAAGTTGGTTTCATTAAAGGCAACAAGACAAAGCATATTGATCCAAAGTATTTTAGTTATATCCATGAATTGATTACTAATCAAGCACTTATAATTGAAAAAATTGAATCTACAAATAACCTTGCTGATCTCTTCACCAAAGCTCTCCCATTGTGCAACCATCGTCGACTTACTTATGGCATTGGTATACGGCGACTTGCTTTTCTTGAATGAGAAAGTTAATGAATTCTTTAAATAATTAAGGAAAATGATGTTGTATTCTTTTTTCATCATCTATGGTTTTGCCCTTAAATACAATAAGGTTTTCCTAGATAAGGTTTTAATGAGGCAACAATTGTTGATCTTGCTACATTACAAAAAATTATAGATCATAATTCTATACAAATTTTATATTATGTAAATATTATGATGAGCAAGGAAGAGTGTTGAGAGCATTAAATGTAGCTGGCGCTCTCCATGATATTTAGTGTAGTCTACAATAAATACTATAGCTACAATATTTGGAATGTAGTGGAGAAGAACTATTTATCCTCTCCCCTTCTCCTCTTGTATACAAGACACAACCAGTTCAATAGACTTTTGTGTGAAGCTCTCTCTCTCTTTAGAAACTCTCTTGTATATATGTATTACTTACTACTACTCTTGTGTGTGTGTATTACTTACTACTACTCTTGTGTGTATGTATTACTTACTACTACTCTTGTGTGTGTATTACTTACTACTACTCTTGTGTGTGTGTATTACTTACTACTACTCTTGTGTGTGTATTACTTACTACTACTCTTGTGTCTTTCTAAACATTCTCAACACAAACCAAGCAATAAGCTTCAAATTTGTTACAACATACTAGAAATAGTTTAGCAAATTTTCTAAACTAATTGAACTAGTTAATATTGAACCAATTTGATGCACATTAGTCTCACAAATTTGAAACCAATTTGGTGCAAATCATTACCACCCATAGATGCAAGTGCCAATACATTTTCAAATTTCTGTCTTCTTACAATAATCTGATAGTTCGAAGTTTATTAATTTTTGTAAGAAAAGAACAGCACCATTGACCATGTATATACTCATATTGATAAGGCGCAGTTTTCCAGTGTTCATAGAATCCACTTTGAATAGGTGAATGGTTTTGCATAAGCTGAAGTACAATTTAATTTTTATTTGGCCACCAAGAAACCATTGCTAACTGAAGCTTTAGAACTGAAAATGCCTAAGATACATTATGTTTCACTATTATGCATTTTCAAATTTCTTGTGCATTAAAAAAATTCAAAACTTCAAAAGAAAAATAATAAAAACCACATAGGAATAAGAATAAACACACATAGCACATCCAGAAAATCTTTCAAGAAATTAAAATCCTGAAACGTGAAGTAATCTTTACAAATATTAAAAATTCAACTTTTTTACTCAACCATAGTGAAGTGATTAGACCAAAACCTTCAAGATTCATGTGCAGTTGAGTATCAATATATGTATTTTTTAATTGATTTAACTTCCTTTTGACCATCAAACTTGTCAAGTTTTAAAAAATTCTCAAACTGGGCAATTTCAGCGTTGACAGAATGAATTCCACGTCAAGCACAAAGCAGAAGGATATATGTTTTTTCAATAGCCAAAAATCCTCAAATAATGAAGTATATTTACAAATACAGACATAAAAAAAATATATGTATATGTATACATTGATAGAGGAAAGAATTCGCAATGCATTGTTTTGTGAAACCTTTACAAACAGTTTTTTGTTATGTCGGATCCACTAAACAGATAATTTCCACTAGTTGAATGGTTGTGGGAAACATCGTACAAATCGACCTATGCACCCGCCACATGGGTATTCTACAAGATGCATGTTTCGAATAGTGTGTTCAAAGCAGAGGCAGGCTTCCCAACAGGCACAGCTATGAAGAAAAAATGCCCAAACAAAAAGGATTCGTAATCTTCATTGAAGTGAAAAAAACCAGTTGGGTGGTGATGGAAACCCACCAGTAGTTGCATCCACATCCTGAGAAATGGCCCGCTGGAGTCCCTCCTGCAGATTAAGTAGGAAGGCTCCAAACTCTATGAAGGCGAAGCCTGGTCTGACAGCAATGTTGTCCACGCCTGTTTCTTTTGCATCAAAGGCGAGTTGTCTAGCATCTCCACCTCTGGTGAGTAGGGCGAGACCAGCTGCCCATCGCTAATGCAGATGCCTTCAACGTCATCACACCGTACATCATGTTTCTCCATATTGTTTGCAGTCAAACTGCTGCTATCATTTGATTTGCCCGACTCCAAGGTTCCATCAGAGATCGTCATGTGACATGCAAGTTCCTCCCACAAGTCTTTGGAGAACACACTCGAGTCAGTCATGGTGCTAGAATCGCTGTTGGAACGTAGGAGCCGGGGTAGCTCGGCTAGTTTGGGATCAAGGATATCGAGATCTTCCACATCCAGTAAATCGTTGAACACGATTTGCTCGTTCCTGACCTTTTCCAGGTCAAGCGCCTCATTGGGTTCATGTGCATCATTGTCCTCGAGCCAGCTGCTGGATGATTCGGGAAGTATTGCTTCCGCTGCAAGTCTTCGTGGGGACGTCCTGGACATTTCAGCAATGGATGCCTCCAAAAGTTTGCGTGGAGACCCCGAATCTGCGGTGTCCAACCCCTCATCCTGACCATCGGGTACAGTACCTGATGCTGCACTCTCCGTTGGCCCGCCTCCAAGATTAGACTTGCGGTAGCCGAGGCCACTGTTTTCCTGATTGTTACGACTACCTGAGAAGCACAAATCTAATGATTAGCACATGTTTCATACCACTACAATTGCGGTAAACCTATCGCCATTTCGACTTCGAAATCAGAGGAAGAACTGCAGTGTTATCTACTCCCGTTCTGAATCAAACAATAAACCGTAGGGCGCATCTAGTCATGAACAATACCAGTTTGTTCATGACACAATTATTTAAAGCCTACAAACAGAATATTGCACATTCTGGTAGTCTCGTCATAAATGAGGAAAGCAACAGATAGAAGGTTGGGATTCTAAATCTACATGCAACATAATGGATCAGCGATGAAGTCACAATCACTTCATTATTTTCACTGATCCAGATCTACTTGACAAAGACACTTAGAATAAATGGGTAAGGACGTCACCATTCTGCTGGCTGACAAAAGAGCCGTACTTTACACATGATATAAACCTGGTTAGACGACTAAACTTACACATTTAAAATCTTGAGCTCTATCGTACTTAATATAACTGGAGAGAACAACAATAATGTTGAATAATCAAAACCCAAAGACTAAGAACTTTGGCTGGAGTGAGGAGCAACACTATGAAGACCTCCATGTCGAGCCAATCTTGGTTTAAGGACTAGTTTCACCCTTGGAAGTATCGATCTTTAATTAGATGTGTAAGAAATGCTGCAAAGGGATAGGACGGAAAAAATGTGTAATTAAAATTTAAAAACAGTTTGATGGTCGAAAATGAACCTTCGCTGACGCCAAAATTCGAGGCTGGGGCAGTTGGACCCCTATCTGGCAAATTGAGGAGGGCATTGAGACCATACAGCACTCGTGCGGCTTCATCATAGGCGAGCGCAGCCTCCTCCGCAGTTCCGTAAGTGCCCAGCCACAGTCTGGACCCGCGATTGGGCTCCCGAATTTCAGCCACCCACTTGCCCCAAGTTCTTTGTCTCACTCCTCGGTAGCTGCATTGAGCATTCTCGGGCCCTCCTTTCCCTTTCATACACCCTTTCTTGGAGCCCTTCGCCGGTGCTTTCCGGATGGTTTTGCGAGGGCCATGGCTCACGCTAAAATCAGTAGCATCCCCTTGCGGCAACAACGTCCCAGGTCTAGTGCCGTCGTTTTGGCTCGCCCACCATGCTAGAGTTTCTGCCACTGTGCTGCCATGTTGTGTATTTGCCAATGAGGCCCGCTTCCGACGCCGGCCCCGCGTAAAGTTGATGCTTTGCAGACCCAACTGCTGAGGCTTGTTCACCCGAGGATCCAGTGTGTACCAATTTTTCTACTCCCCTTTTTCTGTCTTGGTTGCGCAATGCAATCGTCACTACGTCGTCCCTACAACTGTAACTCAATGCCGTTTCCTACACTGACCACACCTCCTCCGCCTCACACGATTCCTTGAATCTTTGTGCAAATCCTATATGTTCCGTGGCGTAACCATTAAGTGCTGATCATTCTTGCAGCTTCCAGCAGCTTTCTATAGTTTATGGTAACAAGACTTCCTCCCTATATTCTGGTCTATGATCAGGGTTTCTCAACCTTTACTGAAACCTCTACCTGAGACTAGTCAGTAAAACCCCAAATTAGGACTCCCGGCAATCAGATTTTCTCGTTCGTCCAAGTTTCTTTTAACGAGACAGTGCTTAAAAAGCTGTGATGACCAGTCTCTTGCAGAATCCTCTACACCAGAACAATGATGTTGGTTACAGAAAGAAAACCTTGGCTTAGTTTCACAGTGCTCTGCTACTTGATATCAAACGATCGTTTCAAATACTTGAACATTTATTTTTTCATCCTGTGCGGAATAACTACTTCACAAAGACCTTCCGAGCCGCCTGTGTCTGCTCCTGCTACAAGTGTCTTCTCCACTTCCGCAGTAAATACAATTCCTGCTACCACTCACGACACTGCGTTTCTCAGTTTAAGAGAATTGCCCAAGAAATCTTCACCACTGACCCGGAAGAGAACGACCCACCAGCGATAATTTAACAGGTATGAATATGAGAGAGAATAATAGCCGAGGACCAAAGCTGATGCTAGTGTCCAAGGGTGTTTCGAGAGAGACAAAAATTTGAGATGTGGACTACTTAGCATGACACAGACGACCAGACTTAGCAGAAATACCCTATATGACTGGAACAAAGACCTTCCAGTGCCATCGCCCATGTCGGATTTTCTCTCCTAAGACTTCCAGGGAGATCGATATTCACATGCAGGATCAGAAAAAAAGCTCTCATTTACAACCAACCTACCACACGTAGCTTTCAACACAAAACTGCATACAAAACTGCAAAAAACATCACTACCCTGACACAGTCAAGACTCGAAACGTCAAGATATTCAATCCAAAGTCCAAAATACTTCAAAAGCTACACTACACATACGGGTAGACGAAGAAATCTGGCTTAGGCGAATATGAAGAAGCAAAGGTTTCATCGTGCAAAATAAACATTACCGGCTAGTGCAAATGCAAATGAGATCGAAGAAAGAATGAAGCACAACAGAACCCCTTGGAAAAGAGGAAAGAAAGAAGGAGGAGATGGAAGGCAAGCTACCATGCAGAAGAAGTAGGCGCGAGGTGGCAGGCATACGTGGCGAGCCATTAAGCCAGGAGGACGTCACTGCCCCTTATTTTATCATCCAGGAAAGCGCGAAACCCGAAAGGACCAACCGTGCGTCTCTGCTTGTGGGTTCTTTGTCAATGCGCACACAACACTTTGATAAGGCCAAGGGCATATCATTCCGCTCTGACACCTCAGAGCTTCACATCCCTGGGAGCGCAGCCTCGAAATATTGCATCGACCACACCATGGTCTGCAAGCGTTAAACGAATGAAAAACCTGCCCTACAATGGAACGTCTTATCGCTCCTGCCTTGACACTGCTTGCCTTGCATCACAAATTCCAGGAATTGGGCATGGATTGGTGTAAATCATTTTAAAGTCGTGATTGCAATTCGACACTAGCGTGAAGAATACAACCATCACTGAGCACTAAGAAATTGGAATGAATGTTCGAGTCGAATTTAACTCACGAGCGGAAGCCGTTTTTTCTCCTCGTGACATGTCGGCCGGTGAGGTGGAGGGGTCAAGCTATAATCGATGATCCATGTTGAAAGCATCAAGAGAGCTGCACACCTGACTTTTGTATGTTCTCGTGGATACAATTTTCACTATGTCATTTGAGCAATGATGACGCTCCAAAACCATAGTCCTAATTAAAGCCTGTGGAAAGGGACCAGGTACAGGTACGTTACGTTGTAGGTGAAGTTGTGATGACAATGCTTTGACAGGAATTAGAGTCATCGGGGGTAATAGGGTGGTCCAGGAGTAGCCAACACATCAGCAGCATTCACGGTTTCTTGGGTACAGTATTTAGAGCAGGTAAAAAGCACAGTTGAAGATATTTTCAAAACGAGTTAGGCAGGTCCAGAGCCCAGGATTACACAGTGCAGAATAGCCGGAACAGTATCTTGAGGTTTATCCACAAATAAACAAGTCGAAGGAAAGGAAGTCGCCTAAAATAAACTACTACCACAAACAGCAAGAAATAGAGTCGCTGATGTAAGTTCAATCTGGACCGCGATAAGGCCTTGCGGGCATAATGCCCTAACGTGGCAATCAGAGAGAGTCAAGTAAGCGTTTTGGACTTGAGGATCTGGCCCAATTGGCACTTGGCACAACGTCCGACTCCCAAGTGTGAGCACCTGGGGCACACGATATGCCACTTGCAGACTATCGGTATTGAACACATCTACCTCTACAGTGTCCAGCTGGAAGTAGCTTTCCTGTATCAAATCTGTTTGCTCTCACTAAATTTTCTGAATTGGCATTAGAAATACACCGGCTTCAGATTTTGCACTGTCGGTAGAAAAAACACATCATTGCTGCGACCGAAATGTGCAGGAAGGAGTTGACATGGCCTGCAAGCAAGAGTTTAAAGTTCCGCACTGGTGAAATCCAAGTGGACTCACCTTTATCCACTTGAATGTACCGCTGTGCAAGCACTAGAAGCGCAAAGTGAGAAGTTTTCCAAGTTTGCAACATAGAATACATGAAATATTTAATACCAGCCTCAACTTTCTTCGTTCAGTAAAGTTGCGACCATGGCATCTGCGGTCGGGCCTGTGCTGCTTATAACACTAGGGATGATGTTTTCTGAACCAATAAATCGAACGAATTCCTTGAGTTCAGTAAAACTGGAGTGCTCGCTATATGGCACCTCGTACCTGCCAACGTAGCCGTTGAAAATATCAGAAAGAAGTTTTCGTGCTCCAAATATTATTATGACTTGCTTAGGAGAGACTTTTCAAGAGAAAATAGTTTAGCAGTATCGAGTCAAAATGCACCACGTCTTCCATACGTACATAATAAGGTTGAAAAAGAAATATTCTTTGACCCAAGCTGGATAACGAACCGGATTATGCTGCCTTGCTGATAGCGTCGACCAGGGCGGCCCTGCACACGTTTCTTGTCCTTCCCGAAACTACATCCAGTTGGTGAGAATGCAACAATAGAATCATATCGACCCTGAACAAAACGGATATCACGACATTATGATAAGATCAACTTGAAAATGTTTAGTTGGCAGATCGCTCAAATAAGTACATAAAAGGAAACTCATAGTGTTCGATCCTTTGGTGTTACACGCACTTAACGCATCACTTCGACACGAGCACATTTTTTCAGCTGAAAAGAGAGAAAGCACTAGCGAAAAAAATAAGCCATAAAGTACATGGTAATGGCGAGAGATTGAGCCCATTCGTTTGAAGCTAGCAACGCTCCATAGCGGCACCACATGAATATGACTCTCTTGATCTTTGGTTGTCAACCATCTTTTATCTTCTTCAGTTAGGTCCATACAGTCTAGCAGTCGCTGCTTTGCAGATCCTACATAAACATACTTCTGAAGAGCTTTCCCAACCTCCAGGAATAATTTCTCTTTACCTGGAAATAAACATCTTAGTATTCGAACATGAGCTTTTCTGTACATGGATACGACTGACAAAATGCCTCGTGCAGATTGATTGTCGCCATAAGTGACTGGTAGTGCCAATAAGTTGCGGCAATATTAATACGACTCCGCTTCAACAAAGACGGCATAATTGAAGATCGTGAATAGAAAGCGAGGGTCATCAGAATAAAAGCACTTACCTATCGTATACGTGCCAATGAGAAAAAGAGTCTTAGGATTGAAAGCTTCTGCTTGAATCGCATCAATGACGAACTGTATCACTGAATCTTGCTTAGGAAAATCATGCTGCATAACCAAAGAACAAATTAAAGCCGTCACAATAAATTCAAGCACGCCTTGATAAATCCCACTTGAAGAAACTCAGACCGAATTCCACTCTTACCCCCATCTATTTGCAATTCATGAGAGAATCAAAACAAACAGACAGAACCTGCTGGTACAAAGTTTCAAAGAGAAGAAAATCATGTCAAATGTTTTAGCATGAAGTTCTTGCCTAGACGTGAAGGTGATTGCCGAAGGGAACGTCTAGTGAAAATAACTGGGGAACATGCATCTCACCTGTGGATCGCAGTAAGTAGTGTCAAGTATAAGGGTGGTTATTCGACATTTCCGCAAAACATCGTTAGAAGCCATGTCTGAATAATAGCGAAAATCTCCAGTATGCAACACAACCTTAACAATATCCACAAACCAAGTATGACAAGATTGGTCAGATGTTTGACACAAGAGTGGACTAAACGTTTGAGAGCGACAGTTGATCACATTCTAATGTACGTGAACAATTCAAAAAAATAAACAGATACTATCATCAAAGATTGCGGTCGCAGTGATTGTTAAACTTTTAACCAGTGATATTTCAAAAAACCAGCATGACAGTGCGCGATATATTAAGGGTTCAAAACCAAAACCTGAGTAAGGTTCATACTTCATTCAACTTCACATAAATTCTTAAGAGAACTCAGATGAGAATGACTTAAGGCATAGTCGTCATAAAATCTTACCTCACCGTTAGGCGGTTCAAAGAGAATCATGACTGATCCTGGGCAGTGATTAGCATCTATAAATGTCACCCGCACACCATCTATAAGGACCGTTTCATTCAAAGGCAAAGCTTGAATGCGGTCCAAGGGTACCCCAATGCGAAGGCTGATAAGACGCGCTGTAATAGATGAGCAGAATATTTTACCGTGTCTAAAACCTCGTGTTAGTCCTTGGTAATCTGCACAATTCAGCACCTTCTCAATCAACTTAAATGAGCACAAATTATTAGATGTATATCAACAACAAAGTGTACTCAGAAGTCTTGTACTTGATTGCAATGTACGTAGTCCATTCCATTTAAGGGGCTATCATGCAATAACTGGGCTAAAAGTATGTGCAAAGCACAAGACTTCGTCCCATCAAGGCTACACACCATTCTGCAAATTACCCCCAATAATTTGTATGAGAGATTGTCGCATATATTACGATACAGCAGCTGACGGCCATAGAAATGTCAGATGAACTTGTACAAATCAAGTCTAATAGGAGTTCAGGATAGCATGCTAAGGTGTGCAGAAATGCTTACGATCAGTGTGAAAGTGAGTTAGAAACCAGTTGGAGCAATTTCCTGTAGTGTGCTTGAATGCATCCTGTGACATAGAGCTCCACAATCAGCGATTTGAGATGGAAAAGAAATATGAAACCATAAGCACGGTGACTCCTCAGACTCCGGGCAGATAATGAATATTTTACTATTAGCATGCAAACTTAAAATTCATATCCAGCATCTACAGGGTACTCAAGCCAACGTCATACCACTCTGAAGGAAGTGCCAGGAATACACATCCACGTTGGAATACCACTTGTCCCAATAGCTCTCGAATTCCTTACAGCAGAGATAGCCCTTCTCGGATTGGTGTTTCTCCACGGCATTTCTGTAGTGCTAGCATTACCTGAAGCTTTTGGACCAGCAAGAGTGTGATTATCTGGGGCTGGGACTCGCCGCTCAGTAATTGGAGGAGGAATAAAGAAGTCCGCGATGGATTTTCTGGATCCTGACGAGACGGAACATTGTGGTGAATACCGAAACTATTACACAGTGGCACTTGATCAATACTCAGAAACCAAATCCATCATCTTTGCAGACAATGATGATGAATGCATTGGTAAAGATCGAACAGAACTATTTGAAGTCCAACAATTTGAAGAGACAGTCACAAGCACTTTCCATTTCATTTACGTCTAAAGCAGCATGGTACTGAATTTAGCACTAGTAAGATGATGAATCGCACTGCTAAAAGTTAAACCCAGATGTGATACAGCTGTTGTGACGCTACTAAATTTCAACAATACGAGATTACAATCTAATTTCTTGCAAAAGTTAAAATGCATGTAAGTATTGTTAAGAGTAGTGATACCTTGCGATGTATCAACAGGAGTAACCGGCAAGGCCGAATCTGAGAGTTTTTGACCCTCTTTTATGGCCGTCATATGCTGTGATGTGGAAGGGACGTTTCTTAATTCGTTAATTGCAGAGAGTATCTTCCTCCTTGGTCCAAGTGCTGAAATTCCCAACGAGTTAAGATCCTGCACCACAGGTCGTTGAAGCAAAACACTTTACGCCAGTATTCCAGAATCTAAAGCTACAATAAATATGGCAGCATATTGGCACCTGATCAAAGTAACCCTAAATTGAAGTATACCGGAAGACTTTTACCCAATTGAGGAATGAGAGAAAATCGAGGAATCGATATGCACCACTTCAACAATGAAACAAATTAAAAACCATTTTGTTTTAATTTAAAAAATGCGCAACTCTTCCGCATTCGTACTCGACATCAAGTTACCTCAGAAAATAATTAGCAGGACTATACCTCCTCAGTGAGCCACTTCAAAGTATCCCAATCAATCTCCTCTTTCACAAAGATGTCCACATACTTGGCCAGATTCAGGTTTGTCAACCACGTCACAACTGGAGCCATATCTGGTCTACCTGCGGCCTGACCCATTGCAGCTTCCGCAAATTCAGAGACTTCGCCTAGTTCTTCTTCTTTACACTTATCTAGGCATGCATTCGTGTGTTCTTCTCGTTGGGCGGTGGACAATCCCCCTATGCAAATTTGACAGACTGGACATTCAAGATTCAAATTCATCACATTGCTTTGGCTACTCAGCAGCTGCCCAATTTCAGCCGCTTCAGGGGTTTCAGCTCCACCACCTGGATAACTTTCTGCATATTCTCTGTCACATGATATATTATCCTTCTCAAGACATGAATTAGTATGCGTTTCTCTTTCTGCGTTGGATAATTCTTGTATGCAAACCCCACAGACGGGGCATTCAAGACTCTCGATTATCACATTTTGTTCACTAATCAGCGGCTGTACACTTCCAGTTGCTTCATCTCTTTCAGCTTCACGATCTAGACAGTCTCCAGCATTTGTTCGCCCACACGAAATATTGTCTTTGTCTAAACAACTGCTGACATGCTGTTCTCTGTCACTAACGAAAAGGTCGACTAAGGCAATTCCACAGACTGGGCACTCAAATGAATCCATGCTTTCATTGTCATCTTCATTGAAACCAAGACCTTCGTAATCCAACTCTGCTTCATCTACTAAAGCCCGCATGGCTGTCCCTGGGGTATCCATGTCCTCAACTTCACCATCGGTCGTTGGCCCCTCCTCATTCATGGAGTCGGGAAGTCGGTACATTCTGCATTTACCTAACAAGATGTCATATATATTCTTACGTTTAGGTCGACCCTCAGTAGTCTTCTCTCTCACATCAACGGCAATACCACATCGCTCCAATACGGATGGACCGAATTTCATCCTAACAGGCGCATCAACTTGTGTACAGATAACCATGTCTTCATCAACTGCAGCCCCACAATCACTTTCAGCAACTTCATCGCCTTCAGAATTCGAAGAGCCCAGCCGAGCAATTCCTTCAATTTGTTTATGTCTTAAGGTATCATCATCGTCCGACACCCTTGCAGTCGTCTTCACTTTCTTAGCACTATCAACATAAGTATTGCATCCAGCGCCAAGGCTACTACAATTTTTTTCTCTCTTTGAATCCAACTTTAAAATGCTGTCTGTCTGCCTCTGCTGCTCAGGCTGCTCACATGGTATCGGACCATCTGTACCCCTGTCCGTGTTTTCCTTACTACAATTTCCCCATAATTTCGAATTGCTATGTATCAAATTTTTCTCAACCTTTCCTGATCTGGCTACGATGCCGTCCTTGTCTCTTTCTGCTAGAACAGAAGGATCTGTAACGGAACTAATAAGTTTAGCACCATCACTGGATCTTGAATTGTCATCTCTCAAGGCTCTCTTGTCAGTCACTTCAGGCTCTTTACGCTTACGCTCTCCTTCATTTGAAACTAGATTTTCAATTTCTACAAAAGTGGCAGTACTTTCCAGCATGAATTTAGTGATATCCTCACAATGTACCATAAGCTCCTTTCCACGGCCAGCTCTACTTCCCAGCTGCGCGGCATCTCCAATTTCGTTACCACCTCCTCGCTGTTTCTTTTCCAAACTTAAATTCTTCCTAGATACTTTCTTCTTCACCTGTTTCTTCTTGACACAGTTCAACAGAGCCAGTGTCTGGTTGAAAATTACTGGCGCGGGTCCTGTAGTTTGAAAATCATCATCGCTGTTGCAAATCTCAGCTTCGTCTTCCTCCAGTGCCATCGCCAGAGCAAAGTCTGTATCAGCGTCAACATCCCTAACACGCTGCGTGTACTTGATCTTCATAATTTACACCATCCACAACTCCGCGACAATTCAAACTCTTATCCCCTGCATCTGCATGTACAACCACCCTAAAACCCCTATCCAAACATCAACTCCCACCACCACCTCCCAAAGGGCCACACAAATCAACTGTACAAAACTTGAAAGCTAAATCAACTCCGCGAACCATTAATTCCGACCCAACAGCGACTCTCCGTAACGTCTGAAACCGCGCCCTTCTGCTCATCAGCAATTCAACTCCTCGTGATTTATCTCCGCCTCCAAACTGAAAACTGCCATAGCTGAACTAAAATACCAATAACCTTACTAACGAGACCTAGAAGTGGTGTACATAAAGCATCCGAGAAAATTCAAAAGAAATCCTTCACCCAATTGCAGGAAAAGCGAACCCAGACCGAATACGAGGATGGGCATCCGCGGACAAGGCATCCATTAAATGCGGTGACATGAATGCTGTGACTAAGGCGATGGTGATGGTGAAAAAATGCGAAGAGAAAGAATGCGAGGAGCGAGGAGCAACAAACGAGGGCGGGGCTGGGCATGGTGGAGTTCGAATACCACAAGGGCTTCAAAGCAATGGAGGGAAATTCGGATTTTCTGTTAACCCTTGTCTGGATGAAAACCCATGACCAGAATCATTCATCTACTCCTTGCACTCTAACTCTTCTACTGCCACATTTTTAAAATCTTGTTGTTTTGTTTATTAATGCATTCATTTTACACATTGAAAACTCCTTTGTGTGAAAAATTCTGGGTGCTATTGTTCCCTTTATCATCTTGTCAGTGAATTCCAAAAAAGTGACAAACTACAAATAGATAAAAGTTATTTGTTTCTCAAAGTATATATAAGTATTTGATGATAAAGTCTTTAATGTCTTTAATGTCTCTTCATTTGTAAATGGGATTTATTAGCATGCGATGTCGGAGTAGAGAGAGTTTGCTTCAAGAAAGCAATGGGTTCCTAACTGCCACTAATTGCTCAATCAAGTCTTGAGATAAGAAAGACCAAGTTTGTATTATATATAACACTTTTAGGAGCAATTACACCAAATATATGTCTTGAGTTCCCAAAAATACCCAAAATATGATAAAAAAAAACTCTAAATCCTTATATATCCTTATGGGGTATTACTCTCAAACTTCAACAATTCATATCTTCCAATCGAACTATTTAAACACACTCAAATTTTATATGAAGTACTGATGTACTTCTAACAACTATCACAACAAATTTCAATTGCAAATTTGTAGCAAATCTTAAAATATCTTCAAAATTCTAATAGTAGCTTCAAATCCTAGTTTTTATACACCTATATGCAATTTTCTTCATATCTCACATAATTAAGCACTCAAATACTATTAAATTTGTATATATAGCTTTTTAATACAATAATCTATCTTTTCTAAAAGGTTTGAGCCAAAAATTCGTATAGAAACTCAAGATATGGCTCCAACTATTGCTATGAACAAAATCACTTACTTATTGCCTTTGATGTGGATGGGCTGACTTCAACTCTCTATAACTATTTCTTTCAAACTCTAAATTCATTAAAGAATATATGAAAAGTATATTATATGTTCTAACTAATATTTACATATTATAAGCAATTACATTACGATAATGTGTCAAAGACATAAATTGGAACAAGTTTCAAGGACAAAAATACAATAAAGACAAATAAACGAGTGAGACTTCTCTCAAAGAAAGATGAAAAAATAGAAATAACTTGATATACATATTAAGAAAGAAACTAGAATGGCTATTGCTAAAAAGCCAAGAAAACTAGAGACCCTTGAAACTAGACTGGAAGCAAGAAAGGAGTTGACAAGAGTGAAGAAGGCTTCACCTTTGTCTCTATATATACTATCTAACGAGGGGCTATGTGGCAACCTTCTATAGGACCTCCAATATATGTTGACTTTGTAGGACACATGCCTTGACTTACAAGGCAAGTTTTTCTATGAGTGGGCTATATAATTAGCTTGGTCTTCAAGCTAACAACATGTGTGGCACATGGCCAACTTGTTTACCACGTTTCTAATCCAAAAAGTCAATTAAAAATACCTATAAAGCAGTATCTACAAAGCTTTTAGGAAGCTTTCATACCAAATACTATAGAATTAACTTATTTTATTTCTACTTTTATTTACTTTTATTTATTTATATATGTAATAATTGGCTTACATGAGTATGTCCGTGACATTACTGTAGAATAAGTAGTTATTTTCAGAATGTAGATACCTAGTGTATAGTGTAAACTGAGATAGATAACTGCTGAAAAGGTGGTTTAGCAGGTAGAATGGATGAATAGTCAGGAAAAGTAGTTATCATCTGTAGTAAAGGAGTTGGTATCTCAGGGTAGTATAAGGAGGATGGGAGAGGGGAAGAAAAGGCCAGACTGTGAGAGTCGTAAGCCGAGGACCAGACTGTGAGAATCATAAGCAGAGGGCCAGACTATGAGAGTCATAAGCCGAGGGCCAAATTGTGAGAGTCGTGAGCCGGGGTAAGCTTGGTGCTACCTCTTTTCTTTTGTTTGTTATTTTCTTTGAATGAGAGGATTGAAAGTTTCTGAATATTGTGAAGTGAATTATGGAATAGAAATGTGATTGATATTATTTGAGAAGAAGAAAGATTGAATGCTGAAATCTAATTGTAGTTCAGCAAAAAGAATGAGTTTGAATTTGTGTGAAACACTATAATGTGAATGGCAATTTTGTGTAAAGAATTCTAGTGATTGGAACGAGGGTAATTGTGTGCTGAAAGCTGTGAAGGCGCAGTATTACAGTTAGAGATTATGAAGGTGAATATACTAGTGGAAATAGTAGTTATTGGTATAACAGAATTGCTATAAGGAAGAGATCGATAAGGTAAAGGGAGGAGATTATAGTTTCCTTGTGTGTTCAGATATTGGAAATAGAGACGATACATTCAGGAGTTAATTGATTATGTGACCTTAACGTGAACGCTTAAGCAACTAGTCATTCTCCGTATTCAAATCTTCCTACATGAGTTTATGCTAGGAGGTTTCTTCTGGAATAAGTAAAACGAGCAATTACATTTTGGCGCCACTGCCGGAGAGTGATAATAGCTTTGAGTGTTAGGAATTAATCACCAAACGTGTGAAAAAATTAGAAATGGAAGATGATTTCAATAGTGTTTGAAGAAAGAGTATAATTATTTAGAATGAGAATTTAACAACAAAGAGAATAAAGCAATCAAAGAAAAGAACAGAGCAATCGCAAGCAAGAAATTTGTTACATAATGAGCGAGATCACAAATTGAAAAAAAAACATCAACAAAGTTGGATTAAGCCGTGGTTGCATGCCTGTTGGCATATTCGATCGTACCCAAAAGACGATCGACCTCTAATATTTCAGAAGTACATACCATTAAAGAAATTGCCAAGAGCACTCGAGGAGAGCGCTGCTAATAGTCCAGCAAACCTCTCAAAGCCGTTAACGAAAAACGAGGAAGGTACAAAGGAATTAGGTACCCCACTAGGTATCTTGTCAATCGGAAATATGTCCGATCCTAACAAGACTGGTTCTGAAGATCGGCATAAATCACTTGCCAATAAAGATCAATTCAGAGTATATCAAAACCTGTCGTTTTTACCTCATATTCAACCAGTAAAATTATTTGGGGATAATAATAGTCAATTGGGAAGGCCTGGAAGTCCAAAAAAGACTTTTGTGGGAGACAGTTTTTATTTTAATAAGAAATTGAGCAGAACACCAACATCTTTAATGACGTCCGGAGGACCAACAGTTTCGATTGTAGTTCAAATGGGTGTAGTGGGTGATCGAACGACTAACGTCGCCCCATTACCTACTTTTCGAGATTTGCCAGGTGCAGATCCAGATCAATATTTGTCTCAATTCTTGATGGTGTGTGTAGCCAAAAATGAAAGAACGGAAGACATTTGGCTGAGATGAAACCACCGGCATTGAAAGACATAGCGTTTGAGTGATATAACCGCCAACCTATGGGACAATTTATCAATTGGGAGGCATTGAAAAATGCATTTTTAGCCCATTTTCCACCAATTGGTTTTGAAGAACGTCTTAGAGAAAAACTAATAAACAGTAGAATGCTACCAAGGGAAGTGGTACAGTCATATTATGGTCGTGTAGTAGATATACTTCGAAAATGGCCAAATAACCAAATGCCAGAATCATTTCTGTTGTCCATATTGGTTAATAGACTACACCCACCAGAATTGAAAATGTTTGTAAAGGAGGTCCAATCAGCCACCATTCCATCATCTCTTGAGCGAGTAAAAGTATGGGAAGAATGTCACTATGGCCAAAACGTAAATAGTTATACCCACGATGATTCCATCTCAAGGAGGTTATCAAATGACAAATTGGAATGATGCATCTGAAAGTTATCTGGGAAGGAATGATTATAGTACAATTTCACAGGGAATAGTGGATGTCGTTCCATTGCAAGCTGTACCACCATCATCATCACACCCGTATGCACCTTATTCCGCATATCAGAAACCAATACCTATAAAAGAATTGTCAAATGCATTGGTATCAAGAGATCCTAATGAGTCATTATTGTTAACATTGATGAAAAAAATGGATGAATTGGCTGTGAATTTGGCCAAGGATAAAGAAAAAAGGTATAAACCAACCAATATGCGTCCCAATGTCTGGTGCAACAATTGTAAGGGGCAAGGTCATTTACTAACAGAATGTCTTCCACCACCCCAAATGACTGTACAATGTATCTTTTGCGGGGGCAAGCATATTACCACCAACTGTTGGAATTTACGGAAGCAACAACATCTCAGTAACCAGATAATGACTCAACCAACTTCGTGGGATGTCAATCAAATACAAATGAATAATAGGTTTGGTTGGAATGGAAATCGAGCGAATAAACAAAACAGGAATTATTCTAATTTCCTCAACTCTGAATTTCACCAAGAAGGTGTATCCAATATTCACAGATTGGCAATGAACCAACCAAGATACCATCAATATCCACCCATGATGAAGCCAATGCCAGATTCTACAATAACAATGGGTCAACCAGGATCCTTTATTCATCCGACATGGAACAGACGTAGCCATTATATACCCGTAGAGACACCCAATATCCCTGAAGGAATTGGCAGGAGACCACTTCATTGCTATCATTGTAGACAAATTGGTCATTATACCAATGATTGTCCTAATCCAAGGGCTAGTGATGACTATGCTTCAATATGTGGAAATTGTAAGCAGTCTGGTCACACTTATCAGTAGTGCAATGCACCCTTTAATTATAATAATCAGGACCATCAAATGGAAACAAGCCAACTGGCGAAGGACAAAGGCCCTGTTCAACAAGACTCACTAGTACATCGTGTCGAGGTGGTGAACGCAGTGCTTACCAAAGGCCAACAAAAAGACAAGAATCCAATTCAAGACATGGATGAACCAATCACAGAAAAGCAAGTAGCGTCGTCTGTGGGGCTAAACAAACCAATATCAATATTGAGACGTATCATAATATTGAGACCTCAACAGACTGAGGAACCCAATTCA